GGGGCCGTCTTGGGGGCCTCTTGTGCAGTCATGGGGCCATCTTGGAGGCCTCGTGGGCGATCTTGGGGCGATATTGGGGGCCTCTTGGGCCGTCTTGGGTCGTCGGAATGCCAAGAAGAAGCACATGCCCAAAGCCTTCGAAAACCTATGAAAAAACAATGATTCTGGCCTCGTCGAGCCCTCCTGGAGGACCTCTTGGAGGCCTCTTGGGTCGTCTTGGGCCATCTTGGAGACTTCTCGGGCGACCTTGGAGGTATCTTGGACTCTCTTGGGCCGTCTGGGAGGCCGTCTTGGACCATCTTGGGCGGACTTGGAGACAGTATTGGAGGCCATCGTGGGCCAACGTGGCTATTTGAGAGGCCATCTTGAGCCGTCTTGGAAGATTTTTCCCTGGATTGAGCACCTGGGCAATCCGCCCGGCACCACGGCGGGACGGGCCGAAGCCTCAGGGGGATTGTTGTGGAAAAAAAAACCAAAATCAAAACCAAAACCGAAATAACTCAGCACGCCAGGCACCCCTGCGATGAATCGACAGGGGGCGGCGGATCTGAGACGCCTACGGCGAATCACCGCCGCCCCCTGCCTTTGTGGAAGCGCCTATGTGGCCGAACGTTGAGGCCAGATCTGCCAAGCTAAAGGACCATGTGTTCCCCGAATCGGTTTGGAAAGCCTTCGGGGAACACATGGGCATCTTGAAGGCCATCTTGGCCGCCTGGAGGCCATTTGGACCCTTTCGGGCCTTCTTGGAGGACGTCTTGGAGGGCTCTTGGGCCGTCTTGGAGGCCATCTTGAGCGTCTTGGAGGCCTCTTCGGCCGTCTTGGGGGCCTCTTGGGGCCGTTTTGGGCGATCTTTGGGGGCACTTGGGCCGTCTCGGGTCGTCGGAAGCCCAAACAAAAAGCAAATGCCACAATCCGTTTAAAAACTTATGGGAAATCAATGATGTTGGCCTTTTCGGCCCTTCCTGGAAGCCCTCTTGGAAGCCTCTTGGGCCGTCTTCGGGCCATCTTCGGCCGTCTTGGTGGGCCGTCCGACGCCGTTTGGGGGGCCTCTCTGAGCCGACTTGGGGCCCTCCTGGAATGCTCCAGGGCCGTCTTGGAGGCCATCTTGGGCGTCTTGAACGCCTCCTGGGCCGTCTTGGGGGCCTCTTGGGCCGTCTTGGGGGCCTCTTGGGTCGTTCTGGGGCCATCTTGGAGGCCTCTTGGGCGATCCTTGGGCGATCGTTGGGGGCTCTTGGGCCGTATCCGGCCGTCGGAAGGCCGAAACGAAGCAAATGTCACAATCCTTCGAAGAACAACAAGAAATCAATGTTTTGGGCCCTTTCTGGCCTTCCTGAAAGCCCTCTTGGAAGCCTCTTGGGCCGTCTTGCGCCAGCTGCCAGCCAACTTCGGCCATCCTGGTGGGCTCCTGGCCCGTCTGACGCTGTCGGAAGCCATTTGGGGGGCCTTTCTGGGCCGACTTGGGGCCCTCTTGGGGAAAGGCCGACATTTTTCCCAATTTTTCGTTCAAGATGGCCCAAGATGGTCTCCAAGATGGCCACGTTGGCCCAAGATGGCCTCCAAGATGGTACAAGATGGCCTCCAAGTCCGCCCAAGATGGTCCAAGACGGCCTCCCTGACGGCCCAAGAGAGTCCAAGACGGCCGAAGACGGCCCAAGAGGCCCCCCGGAGGCCTCCAAGACGGCCCAAAAGGCCTCCAGAGGTCCTCCAGGAGGGCCCGAAGAGGCCAAAATCATCGATTTGCCTTAGGTGTTTGAAGGATTTTGGCATTTGCTTCTTTTCGGCCATCCGACGACCCAAGACGGCCCAAGAGGCTCCCAAGATCGTCCCGCAGCGCCCAAGAGGCCTCCAAGATGGCCTCAGGACTGCCCAAGAGGCCCCCAAGACGGCCCCAAGAGAGCCCAAAGACGACCCAAGAGGCCTCCAAGACGCCCAAGATGGCCTCTAAGCGGGTGGCCGGCGGGACGGGCCGAAGCCCCAGGGGGAGTTCTCTGGGAAAAAAACCAAAACCAAAACCGAAATAACTCAGCACGCCAGGCACCCCTGCGATGAATCGACAGTCGCAGGGGGGCGGCGGATCTAAGACGCCTACGGCGAATCACCGCCGCCCCCCTGCCTTTTTGGAAGCGCCTATGTGGCCAAACGTTGAGGCCAGACCTGCCAAGCTAAAGGACCATGTGTTCCCCGAATCGGTTTGGAAAGCCTTCGGGGAACACGTGGGCATCTTGAAGGTCATCTTGGCCGTCTGGAGGCCATTTGGACCCTTTCGGGCCTTCTTGGCGGACGTCGTCGAGGGCTTTTGGGCCGTCTTGGAGGCCACCTTGAGCGTCTTGGAGGCCTCTTGGGCCGTCTTGGGGGCCCCTTGGGGCCGTCGTGGGCGATCTTTGGGGGCTCTTGGGCCGTCTCGGGCCGTCGGAAGGCCCAACAAAAGCAAATGCCACAATCCTTTAAAAAAAAACTCATGGGAAATCGATGTGTGAGGGCTCTTGGGCTGTATCGAGCCTTCGGATGGCCGAAAAGAAGCAAATGCCAAAATCCTTCAAAAACGTAAAGCAAATCTATATTTTTTGCCTTTTCTGGCCCTCCTGGAGGCCCTCTTGGAGGCCTCTGGGGCCGTCTTGGGCCAGCTTCGAGCCAACTTTGGCCATCTTATCTTGGTGGGCTCCTGGCCCGTCTGGCGCTGTCAGAAGCCGTTTGGGGGGCCTCTCTGGGCCGACTTGGGGCCCTCTTGGGGTGCTCCAGAGCCGCCTTAGAAGCAATATTGGGCGTCTTGGAGGCCTCTTGGGTCGTCTTTGTGCCCTCTTGGGGCCGTTTTGGGGGCCTTTTGGGCAGTCCTGAGGCCATCTTGGAGGCCTCTTGGGCGCTGCGGGGGCGATCTTGGGGGCCTCTTGGGCCGTCTTGGGTCGTCGGAAAGCCGAAGAGGAGCAAATGCGAAAATCCTTCAAACACCTAAGGAAAACCAATGATTCTGGCCCTCCTGGGGGACCTGTTGGGGCGTCTCGGAGGCCTCGAAACCCGCCTGGGCGCCATCTTGGGCGTCTTCGGGCGATGCTTGGGCGCTTCGGGGCCCGCCTGAGCTGCGGAGGCCTACTGTGGCCCTCCTGGCCTGCAGTGCAGCTCTCTTGGGGAAATCTGCGCGCCACCGCGCCGGAAACCCCATGGGGAACGGCGCCGAACTCTAGGAGATTGGGCGATTTGGGGTCCGAGCCCGTTGACAGTTCAACCCCAAGGGCCGATGGTGATGCTTACAAGGGGCCCGAGGGCACTCCAACTCGTGCCTCGAGAGCGCGGTGGGCAAGAAATGGACCGATCTGGCACAAATGCGTCTGCGTTCGCAAATTCGCCAGCGCACGCTGGCCACGACTTAATGGAAGAGTGCTTACCTCGGGGAGAGACGGTGGTGCCTGTAGGGATATACGGGGACGGCATTGCTGCGGGAGTCGACGTTTACCAAGACAGCTTGTGCGTTGTGGACGTATACGCTTGCCTACGGCTCATTTCGCCGACGCTCGCGGGGGCATCTTCGGACTGTTTCGGGGCATTCCTGGGCCGTCTCGGCGCGCATTGGCTTTCAGGGCGGGGATGGGGAGGGAGAGGAGGGGGAGGGGGATGGGGGAGGGGGAGGAGGAGGAGGAGGAGGAGGAGGAGGAGGAGGAGGAGGAGGAGGAGACGAGGAGACGAGGAGACGAGGAGGAGAACGAGGAGGGGGAGGAGGAGGAGGAGGAGGAGGAGGAGGAGATACAGTGGGCTTCCTTGGTTATCCACTGGGCCGTGCTGGGCTCTTGCGGGCGGCATCGTGGGCCGTCTCGGCGGCCAGGCCTGCTCGGGCCGTGGCGGGAGGTCCCTGACGCCCGCGCGGGTGGTCACGGCGTGTTGTTCTTCTCGTGCACTTCGGATTGTCCATGGGAGTTCCCATGCGAATCTCCGTGGGGGTCCCCATCGGAATCCCCGCGCGCATCGCCATCGGTATCTCCACAGGGAGATGCATTGAAATTCCCACCAAGGGGTGCCTGCAAGGCTCTCCGTAGGAATCCCCATATGAATCCCCAACGGACTCCCAGTAGGAATCCCAACAAAAATCCCCGTGGGAACTACCAGAAGAATCGCTATGGGAATCTCCATGGGAGCCCCATGGGGATCTCCATCGGACTTCCCATAGGAATCCCGATCGGAATCCCCATCGGGATCTCCATCGGGATCCCGCTGCGAATCCCCAGGGAGATCCCCATGGGACTCGCAATGACATATCCATATGATATGTAATCGCAACATACGCATGAATCTTCCTTCATGGGAATCTGAATAAAAGTCCCCTTTAGAAATCCCCCGCGCGCCGTTGCAAGCCGAGGGCACGGTGGCGGACATTGTCAGCGTCGGGGAGCCGATGAAGGCCGAACGCTCCAGTCCAAGCATGCACTGACAGCGCACAGGAAGTCGGAGGCGACGCGACAGACTGTAAATGATATCTGGGACGCTCTTCTCTGGGAGTTGCAAGCAGTAGCGTTGGGGGGGGAGGGCCGAAAGTCGGTGAAGAAACGAAGCCTCCTGCGGTATCGGGAGCAAGGGGTCTTCCTGACAAGCGATTGGGGCCCTAAGCTTAAGTCGGGCGTGTCCCCCTACAGGCCGATTTTGGGCGAACATCCGAGAGCCCAAAATGGGCGGCGGTACCTGCGGGGGCTATCTGATCTCGAAACCGAGACCTTTTTTCTCGAGCCTCGCGAGGGGCTGCGGAGCGCAGCAAATGATATCCGTCTGAAACAGTAGCAGGCCAGGAGGCGATATGACACGCACTCCTCCTCGGCAGATGTCGCAAACCGACGACTGACGGAAACGCGACATCGCGCTCCGGCCCACGCAGTATCATATTTCGATTATCAACCTGCTGCGGGCAACGGTCGGCGCCCCGACGTCTGGCCCTAACAGGTCGGTTTCAGCAAATAGAAACTCTGTTCTCTTCGCGGCTTCGAGCTGCACGATTCTCGGCGACGCTCTGCACGTGGAAATCAACGAAGCATTGCAATCACTGTGAAACGCACAGCTGCTGCAACCTCACTGCGTCCATGATTTGGCAAGCCCCTCGCGATCTCCAAGGTCATGAGCAGTCTCTTCACAAGCTCGTGATGACGAGCGGGCTCCAAAACCTTGGTCATAAGATCCGCTACGTTCTCTGTCGTCGGCACCTTCGCGGTGCGCACCCCTCCCTCGGCAACTTTCTCCTGCAACCACAGGTACTTCGCATCCAGGTGTCTGATGCGTCCGACACCCAGCCTCGAGCATATCCCGATTGCGGCGGTGCTGCCACCGCACGCCTTCACCGACATCCTGTTGCCCATCTTCTCAGACATATTCTTCGTGAAGACCCCCCGCGCAGCGCCGCTGGTCATATCCACATGCTCAGCTTCTCCACTGCTCAGCGCAAGTGTCGCCTGCTGACCAGCCCAGCTGTCAATGCACGCACTCCATATGTACCCGAATCCTCCACCACGGCTCCTGCGGTTCACTTCATCTCCAGCCCAGTCCGAGGGTCACCTCGCTCGGTAACTCCTGATACTCAAAGATCCACATCATCTGCAGGTGCGTCGCTAAGTAGGCAGCCGCCCGCTTCAGCTCCAGCTCGTGGAGCAGCAGCTGCTCCTGCATCCCGCGCATAATCCAGCTCGTCGCGAACTGTATGTCAGGCCTGTCCGCTGCCATGTAGTGCCGTCGGCGCCGCCGACTGGAACAGTCTGGAACAGCTTCTCCGCGAATCCCAGCTTGTCCAACGCCGTTGGCACCTCCTTCCCGATGCCCCTGGAAGCCGGCGGGATCTCCCTCGCCGCTGGCAACTTCCCGTAAGCCTCGACCGCTGTCCTCGCGTGCTTCGCGTCGCTCTCCCAGTGGAAACCCTTCTCTGTCCAGCTAACCGCCCTATTCAGGAAATGGCCAGACGTCGCTTCACCTCCAGCTTCTGCGGGCCCCACGAACGGCGACCGCTTCACCTCGAACTTCGCCTCCAGGATCTCGTTAAGCCACCTCAGGTCCTCAAGCGCCCCCACGGCCATGAAGTCGTCTCCGTGCACCGCGATGTAGATGCCCTTCTGGACGCGGTAGAACACCACCGTCACCAACATACGGATCGCGTGCTGGAGCAGCTTGCTCGTTCCCCTGGTCCCGTACAGCGCCTTCCGCAACTGCCGCGCTACATGTGGCTCCCCCTCACCTGAGGGCGGCGCCGCGTACACGTCCTCGCCCATCTCAGCGCGGCAGACCGCGTTGCTGATGCCCCAGAGCCCTATCAGGTAGACTTTCCTGCGGTTCCTGAACGTCGCTGCCAGCACCAGTGCCAGCCTGACGAACTTCAGCGGGGGCGCCCCAGCGAATGCGTCATCGCGCGCCTGGTAGGCAACCTGCATGGCCACGACACTGCACCGCGCAGCGTCGGCGCCCACCTTCCCGTCCTGCAACCCTTGCCCCTAACGCGCTCTGTTTTCGCCTCCGTGACATGGGCCCGCGTGAACACTCCATGCTCTTTCATATTGGCACGCTCTCGAGCTCTTCCTTCGCGAACCTTCTCCGCTGGAAGCAGCTGTCCAGAGAGCGCCCCCTTGGCGTTGGAAAGGCACTTCTCCTCGCACGGCTCCGCGGCGTACTCGCCGAGGTCCACCGCGCGCAGCTCCATTGACATGGCGTTGACGGCCAGTCCGCCGACTACGCGCGCCTTCTTGCTCTCTGGCGTCTCCTCCTTCTCTGGGACCTGTCGTTTTACTCCTTCGGTAATATCCACGGGGTCCTGCACCATCATCTCGACGCTGTCCTCCTCATGGTCCATCGCCACGTCTTCCGCTGCGCTGGGAGCTGCTGCTGCGGCTGCTGCCGCGGCTGCTGCTGCTCCACGCCCTGGCCCCTCTGCTGGTGCACACTTCGACTGCTTCCTGACCGCTTCTCGAGCTGGTGGTGGTGCCTCAGCTCGCGCTCCAGCCTGCGCTGCCAGGCCCTTCGCAATGTCCTCCGCGCCCAGCAGAGCCTCCAATCTGGCTCTGCACTCCGCAGCGTTGCACTGGCCCGTCTCGTCACAAGCTGGGCAGCCAGGTGCCCGACCCAACCGGTTGGGAATCCCCTTGGTCATGTACCTCGGCCTGTCCGCGGCGCCCCGCGCCAAGAGCGTTGCCTTCGGGTCGAAGGGTGCGCAGATGATCTGGCTGAAGAGGTCATTGTTCCAACGCTTCTCGCCGGGCCTCCTGGCGATCGATCTCACAAAGACCCGTCCCCGAGGTGTGCCGATCATGTGCTCATCGCTGACGTTCGCCTTGTCGAGTCAGATGCCCCTGCCCCATCTGGCCGCCATCTTCCCAGCGGTTCCCGGGGTAATTTGTGCATCGCGCTCCCCGCGAACTCTGCGATCTGACCGCGGTAATCTCGCCCATTGAGCCGACGATGCGGTGTCAGTCCATCTTCTCTCACGGTAAACCTCGTGAGGATCCAGCCTGCGTGCCTCGCCAACCAACTGCTGATCGGCTCGCTTGGCTTCGGGGCTCCACTTTGTAGTGCGCACTGACGGTGTGCACGGGCGCGCGAATGAGCTGCTGGACTCTGCCTCCAGCCGCCTCGATCGGACCCTTTGACTTGGAATCGAGCCTCGGGCCGACCTCCAACACCGTCTCTTCGTCTCGTGCGGCTGCTGCCGCTCTCGCAAGCGCCGCGATCGCGTTCTCCTGATCACTCGACGCCACCACGCGCTTGCGGCCCCAGTACTGCGACGCCTTCACCAGGACCTCGACGCCGCAATCCACCTTGCCCTCCCCCATGACGTTCGCACTCTCGATAGCCGACGACTCGAAGTCCAGGCAGACCAGCCGCGTCATCAGGTCATCGGTGCCCTTCTTTCCTGGGAACGAGTAGTCGATCCAGACATGGGGCGCGCCTCTCCCCTGGCCCGCCCTGGGGTGAACTTCTTCGCGCCCTCCTCCGACTACGCAAGCCTTGCACCGCGAGCGATGCGGCCAGTGGATCAGTCGATGCAGTTGACGCTCGGCAAGCGGCGGCATCGCTGGAACGCCCTTCGCTCTCGCAACCCTGCTCTCGGGGCCGTCGCACAGGTCGACGGTGCCCCTTCTGATTGCGAACGATCTCCAGGTGGTCAGCAGGTTGAGCGTCTCCAGGTTCTGCTGCTGCTGCCGCTGCGGCGGGTGCCGCTCCTGCGGCTGATGAGCTCGCTGCTCCTCCTGGGCTAACTCCTGCTGCCTCGCCTCCTGCTGGTCCTGGCTGTCGTCCATCCCGATAGACTGGAATGGGTTGAGCCGCCGCTGGCTGTCGTAGCTGGGCGATCGTGACTGCTGCCTCGCTAGCTGTGACCACGCGCTTCACCTTCATGTACCAGATGCGGCCCTGCTGCACCAGTGGGAAGATCCGGCCACTCGGCGCCTCCAGCACGCTCGAGTACACCCCGTATTTAGGAACGAAGCCTGCCTCCAGCAAGTCCTGCTGCGCCACGATCGGGTACTTAACGTTCGTGACCTGGAACCTCATCTTGAAGATCTCCTGCTGCTGGTCGAGCGCCGTCGCCATGCAGTTGACCTCGCACGCGCCATTGCGGATGATCAACTGCCCTGTCGCGGCCTCAAGCGGCGGCAAATTCTCCGGCTCAAGCCAGTTGCTACTGCCCTGTGGTCCTGCCTCTGCGAACTCCATCGAACAAGTAGTGATGCCAACGCCGCTGTCAATCATCAGGTAGCCCGCGTCGTCGCCTTCAAAGCTGCTCGCACCTGCGGCCGCCGCATGCCCACGTAGATGGCTCCCTCGTCGTATGTGTCGGGCCACGGGTACGCGCGCTCCTCTTGAATGGTGGTCGGCGTTCCTCTCACCTTTTGAATTGCCATCACCGACCCTGGAACCGCCGATGATGGGCCGACTGTCGACTGCGCCAGTCTCCTCGCCATGTCCAGGTGATGTTGCGCCAACATGCTGATGGGAATCGCGTTCACGAGCGATGCCGGTTCGTTCGGGCCGATGGCCGACGTCGCGCATCCAGGTTGAACCGGTTGCTGCTGCGGAACGACTGCATTGGTATTGCTGTTCTGGCTCGCCTGCCAGTGATTATAGCGTCTCTTTCTCCTGCGCGTCTCCGTCGCGTGCCCTGCCATCTTGCACCAGTCGCACCACTCGTCCTTCTTCGCAGCCTTGGACTTGCCTTTGTCGTCTGTACCGTTACCTTTGGCTTTGCCTTTGTCGTCTTTGACTGTACCTTTGGCACTCTTGCCCTTGCCTTTGGAGTCTGCGCTGCCTTTGTCGTACCAGCTGCAAACTGCATGCACGTCCATCGGCACCACCTGATCGTTGTCTCGACGCCAAACACGATGATTCACGATGTAG